TGGTGCAGTGGAGGGAGTTTGGGTATAAGTTAAGAGCTGCATCCCCAATGCAAAAGTGGCCAAATCCTAGAGTGAGGATCTGTCGTGGGACTGCAGGGTGGAGGTGACCATTCATGTCCTGGACCCCTTCCTCCCAACCTTGGGTCCCCCAACTGAAACCTTCCTTTTTCTCTAGGATGTTGATGCCAGAGCTGTGGTAGGCAGGGACCAGGACTGGCTGAGGCCTCTGTGCTTCCAGCCAGCCCCAGTGCTTCTGCCTGCTCAGGAGGGAGACTTGGAAGAAGTCACGCATTGGGACAGTATCCCAGGCCCAGTGTACCGGTGGAGGGGTTGTCCACAGTCTGCCCATTACTCAGGATACTCCAGCTCTGCTGGGGGCTTGTCCCAGTTCTGTGGGCTAGGCCCTTCCAGAGTGACACGGAGCAGGGCTCCCCTGCCGCTCTAGGCTTGTACCTGTTGAGTAATAGGCTTGCCCATGCCTGCTGAGTTGGCCCTGCCGGAGGTAGCCCAGTCTCCAGCTCCAGCCCTGCTTTGCTTCACAAGTGCAGAACTATAAAAAGCCCTTTTTGCTCTTTCTTACACACCAAGGCCCACCCCCTTGGCCAACCTGGTCCCAAACAGGGAGCCCAGCTGGAGTTGGGGGCTGGCTCCGTTCCTGGTTTCCTGAGAAGGAGGCTCGTTCTAACCTCCAGCCCAGGCTAGAGCTCACCTGGCTGAGTCCTGCCTAATTCAGAGCCCAGCAACAGCCCAGAAGCCCCACTCAAGCTTCAGCCTGTGGTCCGGCCCATAGCCCAGCAGCCCCAAGCCTGCCTAACGGAGGCTCTGGCAGCTGGCCCTGACCTGAGATTGGTGGAGAGCTTGAGATGAGGAGTGGCCAGGACTCCGGACATTGTAACAAGAGGCTCAGCCTGCTTGTTGTGGCTTCTGCTCTGCCCAGCAATCAACATGGCTCCTGCTGCTTCCCTCCCCCCACCACCATCTTGCCTCTTGCCCCTGCATTCCCCCAGCCAGGGCACCTGGGCCTGGACTCTGTGTCAGGCCTCTGACTGGTGTCACCAGGCAGATGCTTGCACCACCTGTGGTGGGAACGGATGGGTGGTAGGCAGACCAGAGGCAGCTCTGGCCTCTTGGGACACTGATATGGAGGGGTGGAGCCCAGGGATGCCAGACAAGCCCTGTTTCCCCCTTGGCTGGGCCAGATGGCAGCAGGTCTGCCAGCTGGATGGGTTTGAGGCAGGGGCACACCTATGGGGCAGTCATGACCAGTCTCCTAGAAGCCAGGAGAGAGCCCCAGACCTGGCTGGAGGGGCTTTGAGCCCCACCCTGGGCCTTGGCAACATTTCCTTCTCTCTTGGTGCCTACTGGCTACCTTCGGACCTAGGTAAACAGCCCTGCAGTGTCAGAAAAGGGGAAGGCAGAGCAGGGTAAGGGAAAGAGCACTGTTCTGGGAGTCAAGGGTTTCAGATTGTGGTCCTTACTGCCCCAGACTTGTGTGACTATGGGAGGACAGCTTCCTCTCTCTGTGCCTCAGTCACCTATCTGTAGGGGGCCTGGGCTCCCTCAGGGCCCTTCCAGGCCTAGTGGAGGCCAAAGAACACAGGGCAGGGTGCTGAAGACACACAAACCTTAGATGGGTAAGTCATGTCACATCTCTGCAAAACAGGCAATGACAGCACCTGTCTCATGGACATGCATTGTGAAGTATATATAGTGTAATATGTCAAGTGCTCAGCACAGGGCCTGGCTCTAAAGTGGAAATAGCTATTTTTCATGTCCTTGGAGTCTGTGAAGGAACATCTTGTCCCCATATTTCTCAGGAGGAAGTAAAGGCCCCAATGAGGAAAAGATGTTCCATGAGCACACAGAGCCAATGGGAGGACTTGAACTTTGGTCCTCTACCTGCCGGTTGTGTTGTGCAGACATTGGCCCAGCAGCTGTTGTCCTCTGTCCCTTGGCTCCCTGCTTCCCTCTCCCCTGCAAGGAATGCCTCCTATGTGGGACATCTCTGAGGACAGTGCTGCTCCCTGACCCCTGACTCCTCTCCCTTCTGAGTTCAAGCCTGGCATTACTTACTGCAACAAATTCACCAAATCACCCTCTGCCTGGACCCTCTGCAGGATCATTTCTCTCTTGGCCCACTTTCCACCGGTTCTGCCCCTTACGCTTACTGCCCTTAGTGGGACAGGCCTCGTGGGGACCCTTTGGCTGGCACGTTTTCTGTGGTGCTTGCCCAGGCCCTGCAGGACCCCAAGGCACGCAGGCATGTGCACGTGAGCCCGTGTGAGGGCTGTGGAAGGTGGGCTTTGAGTCAACTGTCACGATGCTACTGGGGCTCCGATCTCCCCTCACCCCCCACCCCTACCACAGCTCAGGAACTTGGCTCTGGTCCCCAGTTGTCCCTCCCCATATGCAAGAAGTACAGCCTGTATTCATGGTCACGTTCCCCATCCTAGCATGTCAGGCTGTGCTCAGCTCCCACCCCTGGCCACCAGCCTGTGGCATGCAGTCCTGCTCTTGAGTACCGCACACATGTTGTGGGCCGGGGCACACGTGCTGGCTGGCATGCCTGCCATGGCCCTGGGGAGTGGAGAGTCTGGCAGGAACAGTCTCCCCTGATGCAATCATCAGCTCATTCTCTCAGCGCCATGGAGGCAGGGCGGGCTCCTCGCTGCCCGCCACCACTGGGCACAGCTGCCAGTCTCGGGGGCACAAGGGAGGCAGTGAATTAGCTGTGCTGCCTCAGCAGGGTGGCAGTTACACTCCCGATGGGGTGCCTGTCCAAGGCAGTGCCCACACCCCTGTGCTAGGCTCTCAAAGGTTCGGAGGGGGGCGCACACGTGTGTGTGTGTGTGTGTGTGTGTGTGTGTGTGTGT